TGTAGAGGAAAAAAAAGATGACGACATTGCTGATAAACAAGATGTCCAAGCTTCAGCTCCAAAGAGAAGGTGATAACAAAAGTTAGCAACTTAATCAATGATACTAAAGCAACATCTTTAGTAAAAATTAACCCTTAGTTTACATAAGTTCTTGCAGGAAATTTGAGACGTCGTCAAACATGATTGGAGCCACAAGAGTAAGTAAGAACCAAAGAATCATAATTCAGATGGAAAGTGACGAAGACCATCCTGATGATGGTTTCCGCTGGAGAAAATATGGTCAGAAAGTTGTCAAGGGAAATCCTAATCCGAGGTTCTTCTTTCACCATGCTCTTTTTTCTCTATTTACATCAATGATCCATATCTCATATGACTAATCCATGCATAAACAAGCTCATTTCCTTTGGCTTAAAATTTTATATGTGGTAGGTTTACAATTTTATATGAGTTTTAGAATATGTGCTCGTATTAGTCTCATGTTTTGGTCAGAATATAGTAAACATTTTTTGGGTATATATGTTAATTGCAGGAGTTACTACAAATGCACATATGAAGGGTGCAATGTGAAGAAGCTTGTGGAGAGAGGAGCAGACGATGTTAACGTAGTGGTGACTACATACGATGGTATACATGAGCACAATGCACCGGTTCCTCGCGGTTCCGGTTCAAAGTTTCGGTCGGGTCCATCAATGTCGTCTCAAGATGATCAAACCAATCAAACCACTCAGTTAGGTATGCCTCCTTCTTCGTGTTACAACAACCCTGTCTCTGTGGACACGACGATGACGTCGACGGGGCCTTTCACGTCGTTGGCTCCACCAATGGATATGACTCAGCTCTACATGACCGGACTCTCTAAGCTGCCAAGTTTACCGGTTAATCAGAATACTGGTTTTATGTACCGGAATGATGAACCGAGGATGGATGCAATACCCAATGGTACGGATGTCTACAAAGGGATCATGAATCGGCTATTTCTCAACTTTGGTACCAGATTTTAATATGTATAAGCCGTTTTATTTGTTTTTTAATCATTATTGATATACAATAATAGTATACAAGATATACAAAACAAAAAAAAAAAATTGTAATCATCAGCTTAATCAGAGTTTTTTTTTAATTAATGAATATTAATTACTCTTTGAGTGTTCTAATTTAATTTCCAACAGTTAGAAATGGTTAATCCAGATAAATTGTAATCATCAGCTTAATCAGACCGAACCGGGTTTGATCAGGTTGTGTAATTGTCTTTAAACCGATTTCTAATAACCTGCACAAGTCGGTAAGGATAAGATTAATCCTGTATCCAAACACAACCCTTCGTCTCTCTTTATTCGTGTCAACGAAGAAGAAGGAAGATCGAAGAATCTGAGAATTGAAAAGAGTCAGAGAGAGTAATTCACGATGGAGGAAGTTACAAGATCCGTATTAGCAGAGGAAATACTGAAACGTTTAGATCTAGAGAATCTCTGCTCCGTCGCGTGCGTTTCCACGACGCTTCGCTCCGCCGTTGTCTCCGGCGTTCTTCCTTCTCTCACATCTCTCGATCTCTCTGTGAGTTTCTTCTTCTCTACGAAAATTCTATTTGAATTCAATTACTTTTTTGGGAATATATGGAAATTTTGATCGAAATTCGATTTCAATTAGGTTTTTTCTCCGGACGATGAAACTCTGAATCATGTGTTGCATGGTTGCATTGGACTTAGAAGCTTAACTCTGAATTGTCTCCGTCTTAATTCTGCTGCTGTTTGTGGTGTTCTCGGACCACATCTCGAGGAACTTCACTTGCTTAGATGTTCACTTCTTAACTCCACCGTACTCACTTCTATCGGTAGCCTCTGCCCAAATCTCCGGTACAGTTTCGTGTTCCCATGAACTTCGATTCTCGTGCTTGTGATCGATGTTTGTTTCTGAAATTTAGCAGTTTTTTAGGCTGAAAACAGGGGAAAATTGATGAAAAGTCACATTTTTAACTGAATTTAGCACTTAGGGAGTATTGATCAATTCTATATAGAGAGAGAGCAATCATCATAGGTGCTTCAATGATTGCTCGCACTTGTGGTCGATGTTTGTTTCTGCAATTTAGCAGTTTGTTAGACTGAAAACAGGGGAAAATTGATGAAAAGTCGCATTTTTTTTCCTGAATTTAGCACTTACATAGAGAGATGATAGGAAATTGGTTTAATTTATGGTTCTCCCATTATACTTCAGTAATAGAATCAAATCCAGCGTGCTGATGATTATCCGTCTTTCCCTGAGGGCAAGCCTTTACGTATTTGCAAATAGCTATTATGGCTGTGAGTTGAAGTTGTGACAGTGAGTAATTAAGAGTTTTGTGTTTCAATTTTGACAGGGTTCTTACCCTGGAAATGGCAGACCTGGATTCACCCGTTGTTTTTCAATCTAACCTGACGCAAATGCTTAACGGGTGTCCGTATCTGGAGGTAATTTGTTAAAGCTTGCTGAGGCATTGGTCCGAAGAAGCGAGAAAGTGTGAAATTGAATTGGGTTTTCTATTCTTGTGATGCTTGCAGTCTCTGCAACTAAATATCCGAGGTATCCTAGTAGATGCCACCGCTTTCCAGTCAATTAGATTCTCCTTGCCAGAAACTCTCAAAGCTCTAAGGTTACAGCCACTACTTGAGTCCGAGGCAATTCTTCTCATGAACAGATTCAAAGTCACTGGAAGTTATTTATCTAAGGCTGATTATAGTGCCTTGCTTTCTCCTTCGCCTTCTTTTACTTTGCAAAGCCTGTCACTTGTACTGGACTTGATATCTGACAGGCTGATCATAGCTATCACAGGTTCTCTTCCGCAACTTGTCAAACTGGACCTTGAAGACCGTCCCGAAAAAGAGCCATTTCCCGACAGTGACTTGACTTACACTGGGCTTCAGTCTCTGGGCTATTGTCAGCAACTCACAAGCCTCTCTCTGGTTCGAACCTGTTACAACCGCAAGATATCATTTAAGAGAATCAACGACATGGGTATATTTCTACTTTCCGAGGCTTGCAAGGGTTTAGAGTCAGTGAGACTCGGTGGGTTCCCAAAAGTCAGCGATGCTGGTTTTGCATCGCTCCTTCACTCATGTCGGAACCTGAAAAAGTTTGAAGTACGAGGTGCCTTCCACTTGTCTGATTTGGCGTTCCACGATGTCACCGGATCTTCTTGTTCTCTTCAAGAGGTCAGACTGTCCACGTGCCCTCTCATAACCAGCGAAGCCGTGAAGAAACTGGTGTTATGTAGCAATCTCGAGGTGCTCGACTTAGGCAGCTGCAAAAGTATATCAGATTCTTGCCTCAACTCTGTCTCAGCCCTCAGAAAGTTAACTTCTCTGAATCTTGCAGGAGCTGATGTAACCGATACTGGCATGCTTGCACTTGGTAAGTCAAATGTTCCCATCACGCAACTCTCTCTCCGCGGCTGTAAGAGAGTTAGCGACAGAGGAATTTCCCATCTGTTGAACAATGAAGGAACAATCAGCAGAACATTATCAACACTTGATCTTGGGCACATGCCAGGAATCTCAGACAGAGCCATCCACGCGATCACGCGCTATTGCAAGGCTTTAACAGAGCTGAGTATCAGGAGTTGTTTCCATGTGACTGATTCTTCGATTGAGTCCCTGGCTACGAGGGAGAGACAACCAGAGGGAGGCAAACAATTGAGGAAGCTCAATATCCATAACTGTGTCAGCTTGACTACCGGAGCACTTAGATGGCTGAGCAAGCCGTCGTTCGCGGGTCTGCATTGGCTCGGATTGGGACAGACGCGGTTCGCTGGCCGAAAAGAGACGGTTACAGCTACGATTTGCGAGCAGAGACCATGGCTTACGTTGTGCTTCGATGGGTGTGAGCTTGGATGCTATGATGGTTGGGAATTCCACACACCTCAACGCCATTGAGAAACTCATTGTCTCACTTGTTTATGTATTATTGTATAATAATAATCGTTCAGAAAAATGATTCAGTAGAATGTGTAATTTATTTTAGTTTTTTTAAAGAAAATTTGATTGTAAACTAAATTTAAGTGTTGTGTGTTTAATTTTAAGTTAATTCCAAACAATGCAGAAACAAATGGCACCAACTGTATTACTATTATCTTTACAGTTTACACTTTTATATATAGATTCATTACTTGATTTTTTTAATATTCTTCTGTTTTGTAAATTATGAATTATTTGATTACTGAAAACACTACTAGCTGTAATAGTAATTAGCATACAACAATAAGACCATGTGATTTTATTTATTTTAATTGGAAAAGTAAAATAAGATTGATCAAGTGCCTATATATTATTAGCCTAGGCAGATGGCAGTCTACACGTAAAATCTGGAGCCAAGCTAAGCCAACTACTAAAGATTTGACTTGTGATTGATTAAGTAGTCAAATTGATTAGTTAGTTAATTATGACAAAGAAGATACCCATTTTTTTTTTCCTTTTTACTTATTTAATCATTAAAAAGTAAGCAATTCGCATATTTATACATTGACGACAAATGTAACCTGAATTAACATCACGTGTCGGTTCACGAACCAAGCACCCGAAAACAAGAGTTTTGTCTTCTCCTTCACAATTCGTTTTGTGAAGTGTCTATTACAACATTAAAAATTTTACTATTAGGTCATTAAAATCTATATATATATAATAGCAAGTTTTTCTCTCCATCTAAAATGTCTACATAGACAAAACATTT